GAAGGTTAGTTTCTGACAAGGTCAAGGTTAGAGGGTCCGTCTGTAGCCGGTTGGGGAAGTCAACCATAGGAAGGGGCTAGGAAGTCAGGCTTTGTTGGGGGTCAGCCAATCTCCGATGGGGTTAGAGGTTAATCTGGTTGGGATGGGAGGTCAGCCATTGGTTGGGGTGGTCAGTATTGGCTCCTTGCAAAGCTAATTAGCTTCTTCGCACAGCATCCATGGCATCCCAAACCTTCTTGCCTAATCTAGAATGTCTAGTATCCCAGAAGAATCAAGTCCACTCCAGGAGCAAAGGGGGCTCCTGAGCAGCGCCAAGGATCATACTCCCAGGGCTGGAGGGTCAGGGTAACCTTGCTTCTGGGGTTGTCCTCAGCAGCTGGCCTGGGACGCAGGCCCTGTGTGAAAGGAGCAGCAACTAAAAAGACTTCAGACCCTTGGAGGCATTTCCTGTTTTCCAGTGAGCTGAAAAATCGGTTTCCTGCTTAGAATAGTCCATAGGGATGGCTTCTTATTTTGGTGGTGGGAGGAGTATCTGAGTGTGTAGGATGCAGCCTTGCTGGGCTTGCGGACCAGCGCTCAGGGCTGTGCTAGGAGGTGGCACGGGAAAAAGGGCGGGACGGAGCGAAGCAACCCCCAGGGGCCTCTGCCCTGCTTCCTGGCTGCACTTTAGTATTCGCATTCAAAGCCTTTACAAAGAGAAACACAAGTATAATTCCATCAAACAATCACATCATTTCAATGGAGGTGAAATTTCTCTGGGAAGAGAAAACAAAAAGCGAGCAGGATCTGTGCTGGGACAGTGACCAGGAGCCCAGGGGAAAGAGCCGGGTCTTTGGTACCAATTAGAAACCAGGTCAAATTGCAGGCTGTGTCCCAGGGACTGACACTGTGGCTTGGACAATTTTTTGACCTCACCGAGCCTCAGAAACCTCATTTCTCAAATGCGAAGCCTAATTACCACCGCCCAGGTGTAATAGTGCCCCGAGGCCCGAGGCAGGCAGGGTGGAGGTCCATCTCCTTCCCTCCAACTGAGCACAGGGGGAAAAGGGTGCCTGGGAGAGAGAATAGAGGCACATCTGTTCCCACAGCAATCGAATCAGCTCCACTTCTGCCAAAATAACCTGCTAGCTGCTGCTGACCCCTCCCAGACCCCTCCACCCCCTCCTACCCACATTGCAGGCACAACCCAGGTTCCATTCCTCGCTCCACTCAGCTCTTGGCTCTTTACTGCCTCACTGGAGGGCAGTTTGGTGATTTGGGAGGATAGACTTTCCTCTTCCCCTGCCAGCGGTCACCCAGGAGCGCCCCCTCCCTCCCCCCGCAACACGCACAGAAGATGCAGAGTAACACCGCGCAGGCTGGGAGGGATGGAGTTTGGAGCAGGCGCAGTGGGGAAGAGCTCCCCGGCACACACAGACAGGGAGCCTTTCCCGAAGGTGCGGCTGGGCTCTCTTACAGACCATCAAACCACTTTGAAGGACTGCTGTGACCTTGACAGTCTCACAGAGAATGACGCTGAAGGCCGCTGGGGCACGGCCGGGGACTCAGCGCCCGATCCCCAGCCCTTCCACGCCACCCCAGCTGAGGGGCCCCCCGAAGGCCCTTCTCTGCCCTTTGTCTACCTGTGCCCTCATCCTTCGGCGCCTCTACCACCGCCGCCTCCAGGATAACCCGAACCTAACCCCTCTGGCTTCCCCGCATCAACTGCGGGGCTATCTTCGTTCCTCTCGTCTGCCTTACTCAGCTTTTTTGCATCGGACCCGTCTCACATCCTGCTGGTCTGAAGTTCCCTGAGGGCCGGGGCCTGGTCTTCGCCGCTGTGCTCCCTTCCTGCCCCACAGAGGGTCCTTCGCTGCTGGGGTGAGGGTGTCAGGTGACCAAGCCTTTCTTCCCCGTGACTCGGGCTACACTCTCATCAAGGGACTAGAAATAGCTGCACTAGCACTAGCCCTGCTGTGGAAGCTTCATCTCGCTGATATTTCACAACAGGCCTTTGAAGCCGTACGTTTTATTACCACCATTTTACAAACGTGGCAACAGGTTGGGCAGGTACAGTTACCTGCCCAAGGTGAAGGAGCTGAAGCCAAACCTCACCTGCTGCGGACTCCCTGAGCCAAGTGTGTGGGTTCTTTTAGGCAGATCTCAGCAGCCGTGCGAGGCGGAGACTTAGCTGCTCCCTAACTACCTCGTGGACCACATTCTGACATACAGGCGTCTGATTAGCAAGCAGGCCCAGAGGAGTCTGTGGACATCCTGCAAGCTCCATGAAGTTCCAGCTGTAGCTGGCCTGGGGTTTATGACAGTGGCTCACAGGAAAGGTCCTCAAGGCAAATGCCACCCTGTTCCAGCCACAGGATCAGGCTGTCTATGGGGGTTAGGCAACCAAGACGCCTCCCAGACAGGCAATCTGCAGGTCCAGCCCAGGGCGCCATCCCCAAGGGTGAGACAAAATCATCCTAGGCTTTTTGGGTAATTTTTTATTGAGAAGTGCACAGGTCACAAGGGTACAGCTCAATGAACTATCACACGGTGAACATACATTTTCGCCAGGGCCCAGCTCAGAAAACAAATCGGCACCCCAGAAGCCCTTTGGTGCCCACTCCTAGTCACCACCTCTCCTCCCCAAAAAGGCAACCGATGGCCTGATTTCCAGCAGCACAGGTTGTCTGTTTTTATACTGGATGTAAATGGAATCATACAGTCTGTTCTCCTTTGTGCCTGGATTCTCAAACTTGACGTTGCATTGTGAAATTCACCTGTTGTTGTGTGTAGTTGTAAATCATTCATTCTCATGGCTATGCAGGGCTCTATTGCAGAAATATTCCATGTTTACCCATTTGGCAGCAGATAGACTTTTCTGTTGAGTCCAGCGCCTGCACATTTGACTTCGGTAGGTACTACTCCAGCTTCTCAAAGTGGTTGTACCATTTTATACTCCAACCAGAAACACTGAAAGTTCTGATGGTTCCATATCCTTAGGAAAACTTGCTATGTCTGCCTTTTTGGCTCAGTCATTCTGGTGGATGTGGCGTGGGAATGCAGTTTAATTTAAATTTGCATTTCCCTGATTACTGAAGTTGAAGACTCTCTAGGTTCTTATGTCATGTGTGTTCTTAAAATGTGATTAAAATATCTTTGTCAATCTACTTATCACATTAATATCACCTTTCTGACTCCCTTTGTGCTAATGATCACGCCACCATTTTCCTTGCTGAAATCCTTTCCTGGAATTCCTTGCGCTAATAATGACCCCCCCAGGTGGTGATGGGAGATAAAAGAGCTGAAGGTCTTGCAGTATTCTCCTGAGTAAACACTGTTTATTCAGTCAGCTGTCCATCCCTGGAGGGTGTACTCCTGATTACGACAGCCAGTCACCCTTCAGGTATAGCTTAAAACTGACATACCATGAAGGTAGCATCATTATCTAGGCTAAAGTACCTTAAAGTGAAAAACAGAATTCCCGATGTGGCTCCTAAGCCTTCTTTCCAATCCTTCTCTGCTGCTGTACATGCTCCTGGTTCAGTAATTTTGTTGCACGGGGATCTACAGGCTGCTGGTAATCCCAGCACAGGCTGTGCTCAGGTACAAGGATACAGAGAAGGGCAATCTGCTCACAGATGCCCTCTGCGAGGGTGCGTGAGGCCTGCTGTTTCCCAGTCCAGGGCACAGCCACGCGGACAGGCTTTCCTAAGGCAGCACCTAACCCTTGCCAGGGGCCAGTGGCCAGGGATTCCCTGGAACAGGCCTGTCAGTGCCTGGAACACGGTTCAGGTCGGGGGAGAAGGTCCGAACCAGGGGTGCTAATTAGCAACTGGCCTTTCTTAGAGCTTCCATGCGATTTGTGGAGCACATAGATTTGGGAGGATGAGTTCTGACATCTCCAGGATTTGGAAACGTACAGACCAGTCATATTTCACTCAGTGAAATGCCTGGAGATGTCGTCCGGCCTTGCTGGAACAGCTCCTTCTAATTTATTTCTCCGGATTTTTATTTCAATTCATGATAAGATAGACACACTGATGGGAAGCTTGCTTCTTCTAGGGTGGTCGCTTACCTTGAAACAGCTGCCTGACGTGATAAACAGCCTCATTCTTGGGGCGGGTCTGAGGGCCGTGCTCACATCTTGAGGTAGGCCGGCGACATGGCTGAGGGGGCGACTGTGGGCGGAAAGCACTTGCAGGATGATCTACCGACCAAAATCATTGGCAGGCTTATGAGAAATGATTTTGTGGGCTGACAAGTTCTGTTACCTGGTCCTCTTAGAATGACACATAGTAAAACTGCAAATCATTCACACAGCTCTTAAAGAACAGGGAGTTCTGGTTAATTGAAATTTCTGGTGAACTCAAGTATACTTTCGAATTTCAAATGTTCTTGAAAAATCCGTGCTGGAGAAGGAAGAGGAGGAGCCTTGGAGGCCAGCACAACAGGGGCAAAGTGGCAGGAGTCTCAGGGAAGAAGGAGCTCAGCTCAGGAGGCCAGCAGGAGGGGCGGGCAGCTGGGCATGGAGCCCCGCCGGCCAGGCTGTATACTCCCTGCCCCCTGGCAAGGGGCTCTCAGACGGGGACGAGTTTCCTGGACTCCGACAGCCTGAAGTTCTGAGTAGCAGGTCAGACACTGAGTCCTGAAGAGGCTTGACTGGGCATCGGCTGCAAGGAGTCCAGCATTTGCTTCTTGGGAAAACAGAAACAAGGGTGCCGCCTGCCCTGCGTGCCCGCGTCCCAGCACTGCCAGGCAGCTCCATGCCAAGGCAACCCAGCGCCACATCCGGTCCACCGCGGCCCCCTTCATCCCAGAAGCAGAGGCGAGGTCGGGCGGGCCGGGGAGTGTGAAAATGAGGTTATGGCATCCTTTGTGCATCTTCAAAGGACATGGGGAGAGCTGGAACTGTGTCTAGGTTTTCAAACTTTGGAACCTCCAACGTACAGAAGGCAAAAAGCTTCATTAGTGCCCCCGTGCCACTCCCAGAGGAGGCAAGAACGTGCACTGGGGCTGGGAAATAAGATTTAACATCGTCGTATTTATTAGGTTCTGAAACAATACACATTCACATCCTTTTGAATACAGTACATTTGGCACAATAATGTTTACAATGAAATAACACTAATGAATGGCAAGAGGTTAAAATTACATCCAGAAAGGGGAAAAAATGTACAAATAAAGCATCACAATACAAAAAAATCCCTAAAGTTGAATACATTTTCTAGTTAGCCAGAATTATTTTGCACATAATTTAAAAAGAGGTAATTTTTTAGCTTTCTTCTTCTTCTTTTTTTTCTTTTTAAAGCAAGAATGCATTGATTTTTTTCACCTTTGGAGGAAAACATTATGTTTCCATTTCACAAGGTTTCTCACTTCCATAACGAGAGAACACAGGAGGACAGCTATCCTTCATATATATTTTTTTGGCTTTTATTATTTTTTTTTACACTCCATTTTCTTTTTTCTTAAAAAAAAGAGAGAGAGAGAGAGCTGGAAAGATTAGAAAGAATCAGCAGAAATGTAAGTGTGTCTGCTTCCAAACTCCGTGAAAACTAAAATGAAACAATCAATACTCAAGGAACACACACGCTTTTTCCTATAGACTACATGGGATTTGAATCTGCCAGTGTGAGAACTTGGTCAGCTCCTGCTCCAAGGAGGCGGTGTCCCAGCAAGCGTGGGGCTTTGGGTGCTGGCAAGGGGTGTCTCTGGGCCAGGCGACCTATTCACTGAGTGCTGGGTGGAATGTATTATTATTTGACTTCCCAGCAAAAATGCCAGTTGTCCTGTTGGAACGTCCCAACCCCCGCCGACATGGGCACACCAAGCCCTGGGACAAGGCCATTTGGCATTGCAGGTGGAGCTTGCCTGGTCGTTCAGAGTTCATCATGGTGAGGGAAGCGGGGGGAAGAGAGAGCAGTAGTGATGCATGAGTCTGATGGGCAGTATTGTCATGTCTTCCTAAAAAAATGAGATGATGCCACCGTGAAGATGTTTCTGTGCTTGTACTCAACTCCAGAAGATAGTCTCTCCCCAGTACGTCAAGTTACCGAAGATAAATTAAGTTAATCTACTGTTCTTCATCACTTCACTGGTATGCCAAACACACAAATTGATAGAGCATAATATTTGAAATTATCGTAAGAACAGATAATAATTACACCTGAGTTTTTAAAAAATAAAAACAAAAGAGAACTGAATGTCACCATTAGTAACAAAGGCTATGACCAGCCAGGTGCAAATGTGGACACTGATTCCTTATGGGCTCAGCTAGTCACTGTCCAAGCTTTGACACCACCATCAAAAACATTCCTTTCTCTTCCCCATCTCTATCAGGGCACAATAGAGCACAGGAGAACTATATGTGAGATTTAATATAGCTTAATATATGTTTACATCTTTTAAAACAAACCAAAATGAAATAAACAATACAAAGGAGCCCCCCTCCCCCGAAAGAAACAAACACACCTTATCTCTCGGTAACTTGAACCAATACACAAACAGAGTATTGCACCTGGACATTTTTAGACTTATTCTTTCATAGACTAAAGTTTTATAATATGCCTGAACATGCAGCAGTTGATACCTCTAAGTTCAATGAATTAATTCCACAGGCCTTGCAGCAAACACTATATACAAAAATCTCAAATGTACAAAAGGCAAAAAGCTTCATTAGTGCCACTTTGCCACTCACAAGTATATATATTTAGGGGCAGCTGGGAAATCCACGTGCAACGTTTGGAATGGATTCCATTCCCTGCGAAATCAGTTCAGGAAAATAGGTAATCAAATGACCTCCGGGGAGCATATACACAAAGCCACAGAGAACCCTTGGGAATCAAAGAATGTAACACTGTTAGCATATCTACAGGAGGTAACATCGCATCCATTAAACAGTGTCCACATGAGTTGCCTTGACGTGTGGCACAGAAACAAGCCTCCCGTCCGTCTCGCCACATCGTCAGCGTTCAAGCCAGCTGCTTTCCAGTCTCGACACCCTCCGCATGACCCACGTTCAACCTCATTCTGCCTGTTCCAAAAGCGGATATTTCATATTCAACTTTACATGTTTTAATGTTGAAAAACCACGACACAGTAGTACTACCATTTTGTAGAAGTGCGCAAAAATAACACACTGCTGCGGAAAATAAATAGAGTTTAGGCTGGGAACCTATGATGAAACTGGAAGGAGAATTTGGGAGCGGAGTTTTGTGAGAACCCCGGGTCTTGGCCATCGGTGGCGGCCTTCGTGTTCGGGCGGAGCTTCAATAATGAGGACCACTGCAAACCTGGGACAACTGGGCTCTCGCTGCATATTAGCCCTTTAATATCAACCTGTATTAATACTGGAATTCCTGTCTCTTGGCCAATTTGAGAATATATTTTTCAAATGTTAAGAGAGTTCAAAATTGAATTTCTTTTTCAAAAAGAGATTTCTTCCACAAGATACATGCTTCCACGACTCTGGCATGCCCCCAAGCCAAAACCAAAGCAAGCAAGGATCAGCCATTCCAGACAAACCAGCACAGGCAGCCACCGGGATCTCGGCTCCTTCCCTCGCAGGCACGCCTCGAGGTGCCCACCCTCACGCTGAGGAAGCACAGTCTCTTCTCCTGGGCAGAGGGCAGCGGGGGCAGGCGGGGGGCTGGAGGAATAAGAACAGGGGTTGTTGGGACTCTATGTCCAATGGCAGAGCCCGAGTGTCCTTGTTTGCTTTTTACATTTTCCTTTGCGGTAAAAGAACTGAAGTGGCTTCACTGCCAGGAGCCCCGAGAAGTGGAAACAGGCCAAACAGACCAAACACAGCGACGTGTCCTGACCCAACGCGATGCCGCTTTCCTGGTGAGCCAAGAACCAAGAATGCCGTCTGGTCACCAGGCGGAGGAGACAGGAGCAGGCCTGGGCTGAGGGAATGCAATAAATAGAGTGGACAGGGACTGGGGCTCTGGGCAGGAGAAGCAGTTCAAGACCTTCTGAGCCTCTGGAAAACAGCAATCTTCTCGGCACCCCTCTTGCAGCATCAACAGGCTCCACCTGGAGGGACCGCTCAGGGCATTAGGTCTTCACCAAAGTAGGAGAAGCCTTTGAATTCCTCCTGGTTGATCTGCTTCACAATCGCTTCATCCACAAGCGTGAGTACCGGCTCTTCCCGGGTAAAGTCTTGGTCAAAGTTATTGACGTCTCTTTTGGTTTTCTGTGAGGAGAAAAGAGAGAGCACTGACTCCAGGCTGACCTTCCTCCCCAGGGCCCCACACAGGGAGTGGGCATCGCGCTGACCGGCCTCTCGCCAAAGCAGGCCGCTAGCTACCGAGAGCAGACACAGAGCTGTTCCAATGAGGTCACGATGGATGGCCCCAGGACCAGGAGGTGACAGAGGACTTGGAGAGGAAGAAATGAGTCCAGGTGAGAAGGAAGAAGGAGTGAGAGGATACAATGGAAAAGCAGGGAAGTGGGACTCCCACAGATGTGTGTGTGTGGGCATGGGTGTGTTGGGGAGCGTGGGATGCATAGCTCCCATCTCACACTCCCCCTTCCAGCATCTGCCCTAACCCTCTGGCTTTCCCGAGATCTCCCTGCCTGGGACCCAGGGAACAAACTCAAATCCCCTTCCCACAAAGTCTCCAGTGCTCTCTCTCCCCTATAGGTATACCCCTAACCTTGCCGTGTCTGCTCCATAGGACCTTCTTTCTATGGCACACAATGGGCAGGGGGTGGGACTATCCTCTGGAAACCAGCCTTGGTCCCCATGTGCCCTCACTGTGAATCCTATTTTGTGCTCCTATATTTCTTCTGTTATTACACTCAGTACTCTAGCTTGCAATGAATTGTTTATGCTTCTGTCTCGACCAAGAGCTCCTTAAAGGCAGGGGCCCTGCCTTATTCAACTTTGGGTTCCCAGAGATAAACATGTACTGAATAACTGAATGTACAAATTGACCCACCCCTGCCCAGCTCAGAAGGACCCATCCCCAGTTGGAGGTTCAAGCTCCCAAAGTAGGGCTTATGGCAATCAAACACATGCTGGCTTGGGGAGAAAATCAGGAGTGTACATAATGCTCTCCGTCTCTAGGGGCTTACGGCTGAGTTGGGAGGCAGTGTTCCTGTCCAGGACAGTCGACAATAGTCAGGAAAGCTTGCATGGGAAGGTGGGGGCTTGGCTGAGACTTGAGGACTGAGTTACAATCGAGTTGGTAGAGACAGGAGAAAGGCACCTAGTCAGGAAGAAAGACGGGGCGAAAGCAGGGGGCCAGGAACAGGAAAGACGTGTACACAGGAGAGTGGGTTTGCCAAGTTGCCTGGGGCAGAGTCCGGTGAGAGGGTGGCAGGAGGTCAGGGTGGAGTCCACCTGCAGAGCCTTCAGTATCGAGTCTCCAGTCCCCCACTGTCCACAGCACAAAGCTGAGGAGGTGGAAGGGGCTCCGGCAATACTTTTTCAGACACACATTAACTGTTATTACCCAGGGTCGTTGACCTGGATGGTGGGATAAATCTTGTGGAAAGATTAGCATTATTGTTTGCAGGAGGAACAATATTAATAGATGCTATGATCTGTGGAAACCAGTAACCTAAAAGATGTTAATAAGTAGTCTATGAAAAAAGTGGTCTTGAGATAGAGCTTTATTCTGTACCCTGCTCTCGGAGATCTGTCAGGCACCTTAGCAGAGTAAAGGCTCTGAGATGTCCTAGAGTTAAGAAACCCAGCTTGCGCTGTTCAGGCCAGCCTTCCTCAGACTTGACACATTTTTTTTCCTGAACAGCTTATTAATCTTTCTCCCTGAAGTAGAGATCCACAGAACCTGGCTTGGGAAGTGCTGCTTTACAGTTTAGAAAGCACCTTCACATTCGTGTGCTCATCTGGTTCTTGGAAGCGGGGTGTATAATTACCCTGATTGCACAGATGAGGAAACCATAGTTCACAGAGGCTTGGTGACTTGCCAGAGTCACGCAACTAGTTAAGAGCAGAGCCAGACTCAAATCCGGGTCCCAGCGTGAGGCCTCCCATGGCGTGGACTGTTTGGAAAACGGGGCACTGGGCAAGTGAGAAGGGGTCAGATTCAATCAGGAGACGTTTAGGTAAAGCCGCTAGACTGAAATAAAGCCAGGAAGGCTCGGCAGCAGGCCAGCCTGGTGGCACAGGGCTGCGGGTTGAGGACAGAGCGTGTAATGGGGACTGAGAAAGCTCAGCAGGGGGGCCTGTTTTCCAATTGTCCCAGACTGAAATCAGAATCAGATGGACAGCACGGAGCGGGGAGGAGAGAGTCTTCCAGAACCCATCGGTACGGCTTGGCATCTTCTCCTTGGGCTTGAGGGGCAAAGCAGGTAGGTCTCAGGGACCTTGGGGGGAGACTGATAGGACATAGAAAACCCGGGGGGTGGAGACAGGACCTGCTGCTGAAGGAAGCACGCATTGCCCTTGAAATGAGAGAGCCTAGTGGCTTAGTCATCTGTCAGGAGGGCTGGCCCCGGGCAGGAGGACTATCTGTTTTTCATCTTTACTGTGTACAGAGCGAAGGAAAAGGGGGACCCTGCGTGGAGACGGACTTCAGAGAGGAAAAAGGCCCATCCCCCGCCATGACGCAGGTTGGACGTGGGAGGGCGGGGGCCTGGGGAAAAGGTGTGGTGACTCCTCTCCTGAAGACCTCTTTCAAAGAAGGGTGGGTGCACTCCGAGGGAGAAGGGGCTACAGAGTGTGGGCCTGCGACGCTGGGGGAAATGAGCCCAGAAGGAGGAGAGGGGTGGGGACAGGTGACAGGCACTTGGGAAGCACTGAAGATCATCCCAGAAGGCGGCCATGGCATCCTCAGTGGGGGCCGAGGGCACTGGCGGGTAGGAGGGGCAGGAGTTGGGTGAAGAAGAAAGGCCAAGGGATAGGGCAGGAGGAAAACTCAATGGAACATCACCAAGGGTGGGCCATGCCCAGGTCTCCTGCATTTTCGGGGGCAGGACCACTCTCACTGGTTACTGATGAGGGGTGCGTGTGCACAGGGGACCTCAGGGAATCTGCAGACGCTCTGCCATCGGCTCTCCCTGTTTATCTACCTGTTTGTGCTTCACCTTCCAGTCATTGGTGTCTATTAGTCATGGAAACTGGTTTTGTTTCCTGAGGTCAGCTAGCATGGTTACAGACCTAGATTCCATATGGTATCTGATTTTCACAACTTGCTGATTATGTACCGGGAATCAGGCCCAGCCAACACAGCTAGGAATGTCACCCTCAGAGGACCTCTAGCTCCATGGCGGGCCAGCTTGGGGAGCCATCTCGCTCAGGGAGCCACCTTGCTTAGCTCCGGGCTTCCCAGGGGTCTCAGAATCATCTGTGGCATCTGAGCCACTGGGTCATTCTTTAAAAGCCCTACAGGAAAATATACTTGGCTCACCCACCCCCTTACACAACCTGGTCCTGGCCCTGTTTTCCTTGGACATTTTAGGTGCATGTCAGTTACTCATTTCCAATTCAAATAGCCAGTATCCCCACTATATTCAATTACTAGTTATTAACTTTAGAGACTTGGGAAGTTTTCCAAAACAATTATTTCTGGGAAACCCCGCTGCCTATTAATAGCATGAATGCAGCAATTAGCATCCTCAAATTTGAGGACTGGGGATTAGATCCTTCACTCACTGATTTTATTCTTTGAAAAGCAGCTGCCTTCCTCACAGGCACAAGACTTGACTCCAAGGTTCCAATGGGAAGATTCCCAGATACTCTCCCAGTTCCCCAGCACCCCGGTCATCCCAGATGCGTCCCTAATGCCTAAGCCAGACTCAGCTCACATTGCACAACCTGCAAGGTGACACTGGGACCTGTGGAATGACCTTCTACCTCTTCAGACCTTATCTCTTCTGAGAAGCCCTCCCCAGCCCTTGGCCCACACTGAGGGAAGGCTGCATAGAGAAGGAGAAAGAGCACCGGCTGACCTCTCACTCCTGTGCTGTCCTTTCCTGCTATATGACACTGTGTGAAGGTCACTCTTTGAGCCTGGGTCTTTTGATCTGTAGAATGCAGGTGGTAACAGGTGCCTTGAGGCTAAATGAGATGCCAAATGTTAGGTGCCTCAGTACCCCTGATATGTAATGGGCACCCAATAAATGTGAGTTTCTACTCTGCCTCCGAGTCTTAGCACTTGTGTGCCATGGGCAGGCACCATGCACAGCGTGGCTGTCCCCAGCACAGTCCATGTGATCTGCCTGTCAGTGCCACGAACTGCTTGGAGGCAGGGACTGTCTCACATTTCTCTGTACGCCTCCGAATCCTGAGCTAGTGCCGAGCTGGGCCTGCCTGAACATTCGAGTGCTTCCTCCAGTGACTGAGGGTCCCCTCACAGTGCTTCACTCTTCTTGGGAAAAGCCCCAGGTTCTTACACACATACACTTCTCAGGCCCTTCAGGATCTCGCCCCGGCCTGCCCGACCAGCTTCGTCTCTCATGACGTTCTCTGCACTCACTGGCTTGCCCCTGCCTCCAAGCCTTTGCACAGCTGGTGCACAGCTGGAACACCCTCTCCCCTCCTTGCCTTCTGCCCCATGTCCTTGTCACTGAGCTGACTTCTGCTCACCCTTCCTGTCTCAGCTTAGATGCCCTTCCTTCAGGAAGGCTTCCTTGCCCCTCTATGAATGTCCATGATCTCTCCTAACCCTTAACACAGTACTCAGGACACTGCCTGTCCTCCTATTCTCAATGAGCTCCTTGGGGGCAGGGGCCGGGCTAAACTCACCATTCCATCCCCAGTCCAGCGCAATGCCCGGCACACAGTGAGTGCTCAGTAAATATCTATTAAAAAATATGAATGAATGCACCTCTCTTACGGCTGCTTTATCTAGAGCCAGCAAAGTGATCTAGGTTTAGCACTAGTGGCAGCTGACCTGCCAGAGAGGTTTTCCATTGGGGCAAGTACAGGTGGAGTGAGGAGAAGGCCGAGGTCTGATTCATGAAGGGCCTGGAGTGGGGAGACCAGGACACTGCAGCCCCACAGGGCCCCGGGAAACAGGCAGGCTTAGGCCTGGTTCATGGGGTTTCCTCTCCCAGCAGCAGTCAACTCGGGCACTAGGCTTCCCTGATCACCGGTACAAGACAGAAACAGGTTCAGCCAGGGTTTGGGAAATTGCATTAAGGCAGATGGGTTAAGGGGAGGTTGGGGACTTAGTGGGTATGTCCCTAATCCTTGTGGTTGGGCTTAAGGGAAACTGACATTCC